TTTTCTTAATTTAGTTTTTATTTTTCGGTCAAGGTCGTATAGTTAACGAAGTCGTCACTGTTTGTTGTTCTTGAAAATGTAAAACGTATTTTCTTTTTCCTCTGTATTTCCCCACAAGATGTTAGTAAGATTTTAATGATTATCTGTTGGTACATAGATGTTTTCTGGTCAAGATGTATGTATAGTTATTTCAATGTTTATCTTCTTAACTGCATAAATTAATGGTTGTGTTGTCAGAATGGCACTCTTATCGCCCATAGCGTGTCTTAGCGCACGTGGTTTTCCTGCAAGTACAAGGGACAATACGCTTAAAGGGACAACTCTCCCCCTCTAGTACTCCAGTATGTTTATATGGAACGATGTTCAAATATTAAAATGTTAAACTCGTGAGAAACCATCAAAACGGCACCATTTTATCTATTCTAAGAGTCATTATCTATGGCGGTATATTAGATTCAAGATTTTAACGTGCTATCGTCTAATTTCAAACTTCTGTTCATGTAATTTTTAACTGCTATTCATGTAAATTCATGTAATTTCTAACTTCTATTCATGTAACTTTTAAATTAAGACAATGTATAATCCAATTTCTTTATTTGTTCAGTGTAAATGTTTAATACCATTTCATCTTATTTGTATCATTTAGACGAAAAGCGTCTTCTTTATTGATGCTTTACACGTTTAGCATGAGCTTCAACAAATGTGGAATTTTTACGACAATGAAATAGACATTTTTTTGCCTTAATAATAGAAATAAGATGAAACAGAATTAAAATTTACACTGAACAAATAAAGAAATTGGATTATACATTGTCTTAATTTAAAAATTACATGAATACAGGTTAGAAATTAGACGATAGAATGTTAGAATTTTGAATCTAATATACCGCCATAGTTATTACATGGTCGGTTTAAACTTAATTTAATTCCAACCAGAACATCCATTAAAAACCTGCGATCATGACACCAGGATCTAAACGTCACGAGCCACTTGAACAAGTCCACGCAACTTATTCCTTGCACCCGCATTTCGCCGCATAAATTCATTCGGCCTACCAGTGGTTTCTTTTTTTACTCAATGGGTATGTGCAATGGGTATGTCTATATTAACACTGTTAGGGCCAAATTTCGTTCGAATAGATCCGCGTCCATTCTTTGTTAGTGTTATATCCAAGTCAATGTTTTAGATATACATTTCCTCTCTTAACCTAAGCTCAAGGCTGTTAGACTGATTGTATTTTATGAAGCCATGTGTTTTTATTCATTTTTCAACGTACTAACGTGTTTACTTATTTACGGTTCATAAACACGTTGTAAACCCCTCAGTTATCTTGCAAGTCGTAAGTACATATAATAGCGATATAAAACCAATATATTTGTACTTGTAATCCGTTTTAAGAATAATTCTGTAGCCTACATGTATGCATAATTTTCACGTATGTATTTTGTTTATTTGTAGAAAAACCATTCATTCGACATTCACCATTTATTCATCATTCATTATTCAATTTATTCTGCATTAGATTTTAATGGAGACCGGGATAATCTGTTCAAATGGATCGCGATGAAGTTTCTATTTCTGATGCCTTCACCTACCTGACTAACTTCTACTACCTGACTAACTTCATGGTAGATATTTCAACCATTATGGGAGATTGGATAAAGATCTGGCAGTTCTCACTATAATAGTTAAAAACCAGATACTGTAAAGGGAACTTGCTATAAATTTCTGTCAAATTGATCCACTCTGAACCGAGATTTTAACGATTGAATTTATGGCCTAGCCTCGATCATCATTACTAAAGTCGGTAGGATAAAAAAACATAGTCTCGATTATCCAATTCATGATTAAATTATGAATGGACGTCGAACAGCAACTCGGAACCTAATGCAATAAACATCGCAGGCTAGCGATGCCATCGAGAGTTGATTATGGTCTGGATAAGTTAATTAATGTCTAATTAATAATTCAGATAACATTTCAAGCCTAAAGAAAGACCTGTATTAGGTAGATTTAGCTCTTGCATAATGTATGTTTAAGTTGCATTAGGCGATACGGAATTTCTCCAGATTAAACCAAATTATAATGGGGTTTAACGTCCCAATTGTCTCTACTGACTGGGCTAAGAAAGACGGACTTAGGCCATACAGTGTGCTATGAGGGCATTTTAGCCCCGACAGCGGCGCCACGGCCAACTCTTATTACGAATTCTAGCTGCCAAGGGTTTTCGTCCGATCCGAAAGACTAGACACTGTCCTTGTCATATAATAACGGCGACCTCAGCATATCACAGAGACGGAACTAATAATGTCCGAAATATTATAAAGCTTAGTTTTGCCATTGTATATACTAGCTGACGATGTTACATAACACAGAAATATATTTCAATGATAAAACCGATAAATTCCGGCGTGGCTCTCCGTCCCTGGTCATTGATACAGAACGGGGGCCATGAAAGGGTAGTGGCTAGTCGTTCTGATGGTATAAGCTGACATTTTTTATACCGGAGAGAGAAGGAAGCGATTTTTTATTCAATAATTCGCTTGCTTGTAGGGGCTTTAGCAGTGGAAGGAAACCGGAGAACATGGAGAAAATCCACCAGGCTGAACAGGCGATCTTACTCCTTGTCACGTACAACCGGATAATCGAAACCATAATAGACATGATGCAAAGCACACGCGCTATGAAATGAAATGGGTTTTAACGTCCTACTGTTCTGCTCCGAACTGGCTAATGAAGACTGGCATACGCCATACAGTGTGCTATGAGGGAAATTTTACCTGGACAGCGCCACTACGGCCTACTCTTATATCGAATTCTAACTGTCAAGGGATCTTTTACGTGCACGCCAATGTGTACACGGGACCTCAGTTTTTCGCCCATCCGAACTACTAGACAGCTGTCCTTGTCAGGCCCTCCGTCCTGAATCACTGACAAGGGGGACCACGACGGCAAATCTGGATGAACTTTTTCGGACAATGCAGGAATCGACCCCAGACCCCCAGGTACCCCACTTAGCCACCGTGGCCCCCTTTTTAATAACGGTAATAGAACATAGATCAACAGTATATAAATATTAATTGGCTCAACTGTAAAAAAAAATCAAATAAAATTCTCCAAATCCTACACTTGTCTTCAATAAAATGAACATATTTTGTATAGCCTATTTGACATAGTATTTTGAAAACTATATCGCGTTCGATGTTGTTTCTAATTTTAATACTCCGTCCAACCAAGCAACCTGACAAAGAGCGAGTCGTTTGTATCAACAGAATGGTCCCGATCAGGTGCTCAATCACCAAATTGAGCACGCAGTGGCGACACCAAACGACGTCATATTGATGGTTGCTAGGTAGAAGTGTCATAATTCTAAGTTTGTTCGATGTTCATGCTAAACATGTAAAGCGTCAATGAAGAAGACATTTTTCGTCTTAATAATAACAAGCCAACAGTGAGGCTGATGTCCCCCGCCGAAATCCCAAAATAAATAGATGACACATATTCATTAATCGCACATTTATTTTTTTCAAAAGTATCAAGCAGTCAAACAAATTATCACCTATACACTAAGTTTGGTCACTCTCTATCATATAGAATCAAAGTTATCTTGTCACAAAGCATCGACCAATGAAATTGCTCAGTTTTAGCTCGAAATGTTAATCATTGAACTCAGTCAAGACATTCACCTAATGAACATCTACATCGAGTTTAAACATTCTACCTTAATTAAAAAAAGCAGAGTTGTTATGTTCAAAAGTCTTGACCAATCAAATTGCTTATCGATCCTTAGCCTAAGCAGAAAATTATCATCAACAAACTTAGTCAAGGTAATGATATAATGAATTTATACTCAGAGTTTTATCACTCTCAAAGCATCAACCAATCAGATTGTTTATCTCTGCTTACCGTAAGCAGACAATGTTTATCACCGAACTCCATCAAGGCATTCACCTAATGAACGGCTACAGCAAGTATGAACATTCTACCTCAATTAGAATTGTGTTGTGTTCCAAAATCTCGACCAATCAAATTGCTTATCGTGTCCCAAAGCATCAACCAATCAAATTGCTTATCTCTGCTTACCCTAGGCAGAAAATCACTGTCTAAAATTGTATGGAAACGTGATAATGTTGTTTGTCCCCCGCCAAAATCCCAAAATAAATAGATGACACATATTAATAATCGCACATTTATTTTTTTCAAAAGTATCAAGCAATCAAACGAATTATCAACTATACACTAAGTTTCATCACCCTCTATCGGATAGAATCAAATTGCTTATCTCTGCTTACCCTAAGTAGAAAATGCCCATTTTCGAACTCCATCAAGGCATTCACCTAATAAACACCAACGCCAAGTGTGAACATTATAGCTCAATTAGAATGAGAGTTATTGTGTTCCAAAGTCTCAAACAATCCAAATGTTTATCGCTCTGCTTACCCGGAGCAGAAAATGCTCATTATCGAACTTAATCAAGGTATTGTTGTAATAACACTATACACCAAATTTCATCACTCTCACTTAATTAGAACTAAAGTTATCGTGTCCCAAAGCATCAACCAATCAAATTGCTTATCTTTGTTTACCCTAAGCCGTAAATGCTTGGGGGTTTTTTTTTTGGGGGGGGGGCACACCCGGCAGTCTACATTAGGTATCTTAGAGCTATGTTCGGCATTTTCGGGGAAGGGGGGAAACCATTTTTTCGCGCCCCACCCCCCTTGCCACCCTGTTACAAAATGACATGTTATGCTCCCTGCCAGCTTGACATGTGAAAGTAATTTGAATATCAAATCCACCTGCCGACCCCTGTAGATCTTGGTAGCATTTCTTATGTCATTATGTAACTTTAACTTGTTGATGGCATGTCTTATCTTACTTCTTTGTCTGATAAACTATACTGAACGTTAACTGATATGAAACATGATACATTATAGCCAGATGCCTATTGAGATTCCTTTGTGTGTAGAAAGGTTTAAAACCCCAGAATGAAACGGCATACGCAGGTCTGGACAACGGCCACGTAATGTAAGTTAGTTAGGAGTTGGCACACTCGTGCCTAGCCGAGCTAGGGCCATGGCTCCCTCAATACAAGTTAGTTATGGAGTCTTTAAGTTTTGTACATAATGTGTTAGAAGAAGCGGAGAATAAAAGTATTTTAAGATGTTAAACTAGTCTTGTCATCCAGAACTTGATTAAAGAACCAATACTGTCACATATAAATTGATGCCGTAGACCAGACCAACGTTTTGAAGTCATAACCACTAGGCGATCAAAGAATTCTCTCTAAGGTAAGTCTTTTTCTAATCCTACCATGGCTACGGTAAATCCTGACATTGTGCTATGTATTATAATTTAGCTGGGAAATCAGCAGTTTATCATCACGCTTTATTACATATCATGGTGTGGTTACTAAATTTAACATACTATTCAAAAAAAGTAGGGGATATTTGATTTTGGGGGCATAATACTAAAATATGCAAATGACTACGAAAAAAGTCACTATAGAACCTAACAGAAGAAACATTTCCAGTTACATGTGACGCCCAAACGCACCAATAGCTACCGCGTGGAATGCAGGTGATGCTTGGGATCATCATGGGGGTCCAACCCAAGATTTGCACGACTCTGACTTTGAATGTTACAGTCATTGTGGCATTGAATTCCAGGGTGGAAACATCAGTTTAATTGTTTTAGTGACCAGAAAACAAATTTTGATATGCGTCGGCTTACCCAAAATGAAAGGTTACGTGCCCTTGGCATGCTACAGATCGGCACAACACAGGCGGTTGTGGCGCGGACGATGAATGTTTCTCAGTCTGTCATAAGCAGGCTATGGTCCAGATACCGTGATACACAATCTGTACAGGACAGACCACGCTCAGGTCGACCAAGGGCGACAACTCAAGCCCAGGATCGATTTATCCGTACCTTGGCCTTGAGAAATCGTGTCATCACAGCAAATCAGATCAGCGCTCGTCTTCAAACAGACACTGGTGTGAGAGTGAGTGGCCAGACGATTCGGAATCGACTAAATAGGGGTCACCTTCGCGCTCGACGTCCTCGCGTGATCCCTTGTTTGAGAGATCATCACATTCAGGCAAGACGTCGTTGGTGTAGGGATCGTCAAAACTGGGATAATCGACGCTGGAGCAATGTGATGTTTTCAGATGAGTCAAGGTTCACTGTTGATTTTTTTGACAGACGTAGGAGGGTGTGGCGTCGTCGAAACCAGCGCTTCCAAGACGTTAACGTCATCAGACATGATCGATTTGGGGGTGGTTCTGTTATGGTGTGGGGAGGCATCACTGTTGCTGGAAGAACGGCTTTACATGTTGTTGCAGGGCGTGTTACAGGCCAGTACTACCGGGACAACATCTTGGCAGTCCATGTTGTGCCGTTCGCACGACGCCATGGCCGCCGTTTCATCTTCCAAGATGACAACGCAAGATGTCACAGGGCCAGGATCGTTACAGGTTACCTCCAACAACAGAACATCACCACATTACCTTGGCCAGCACTGAGTCCCGACCTCTCCCCCATCGAGCATGTCTGGGACATGCTTGGACAGAGGTTACGTCAACGTCAACAACGTCCTGCCAATGTCCAAGAACTTGCTGCTGCGTTGCAACAGGAATGGGACAATCTGGACCAAAATGACCTTAGAGGTCTCATTAGGAGTATGCCACGTCGGATAAATGCTTGTTTGGCAAACAGAGGAGGATTTACCCGTTACTGACTTGGTTGTGATGCTGTGGTAACTTTGCTGTTTGACCCCGGGTATCATTTTACCCTTATAATGGTCAGTCTGTGCCTTACTTAGTCTAACGATCATTTGGAATAAATCGATGAATGTGAACTTCATTTCATTTTGTCATTTGTTTCTTCGTCAGTTTCATTAGGTGACTTTAATAACACTTAAAAATCAAATATCCCCTACTTTTTTTGAATAGTATATATTGCCTTTCACGCTAGTAGTGGAACAGTCCTTAACTATTTGTAGGAAATTGATTTAAACAAAATTGTATATATATTGTTTGTTTTACAAGGGGTCATGTTGTTTTTAAAAGATTATAAATTATAATTGTTTGTTTTTGAACACATATTTTGGCATTTAAAATTAGTATTAACAGGTTAATATCGAAAAGTAAAATGTTTTGTGATTGTTTAACTAGAATTGGGTTAACAGTATCGCAATTTGAAATTTAACCTAATAACATTCACAAAGTATTAACGCGTTTATCTCAAGATTTTTATATACGTGTTTTGTCTATACGTGTATATTACCCCAAGTGTTAATGGGATGGCCCGATATTTACGGGAAAGATTTTATTCGTGTTTAACGTAGTACCCCAAATGTTAATGGGATGACCCGATATGTACGGGGGAGATTTTTATTTTATTTTGTGATACCCCAATAATATAGATTGTTATGTCCCGCTATGTTACGGGAAAAGTTTTTATGTGAAACCCCAGTCAGGTGGGATTGGTTTAACCCCAGGAGAGGGTCGTGCTCAGAATTAAGAGCGAACGTATTGTCTTGTTTTGTGTTGTGTTTCAAAAATTATAGAGATAACCCGTTATTAATTTTGATAAGTTCTTTCAAAATATCTTATTGAAGATTGGTAAAATGTGTTCAGAAAAAAAAACCCCAGAATGAAACGGCATAGGCAGAGAGGTCTGGACAACGGCCACGTAATGTAAGTTAGTTAGGAGTTGGCACACTCGTGCCTAGCCGAGCTAGGACCATGGCTCCCTCTATACAAGTTAGTTATGGAGTCTTTAAGTTTTGTACATAATGTGTTAGAAGAAGCGGAGAATAAAAGTATTTTAAACTAGTCTTGAATATATTATGACTTTTCTTTTATAATACTTTACTCGTTTCTATTGAGTTGTTTAACAACATGTTGAGCCGACGAGAACTCAAAAGAACGACTCAATGTTAAATAACACAATAATAATTTCTATTTTATTGCCAATATTTGAATGAAATATCCCACACTGAGTGTTTTTTCTGTGTTCTATTCAATTCGTTGAAACATATATATAATAAGACATGTCTTGACGTGTATGCATTGGTTACAATACCTTATTCAGTTATTTTAAATAATACAATTCAAGAGATGAAAACATTTCGCTTTTACACTGTAGAGCAAGAAGAATCCAATCACTTAAAAGATATATTTGAAGGTTTTAAAACTTTCTTATTTAGTCGAAAGAGTGACAATGTGTCTCAAACATATCTTTCTCGTGACGGATGTTCTATTTATATTAAATCCAAACTATGCGATATTTTCCAAATTATTGACCAAAAAAATGGTGGTGATACCATTTGGCTGATACTGTGTAAAACAGATTTAAATCTGAAATCAGATATCTTTATTGCCGCGGTATATATTCCACCACAAAACTCCCCAATATGGAACAAAAGACAGTATAATCCTTTTGATGAATTGGAGAATGACATATTACGTTTCAAAAGACAAGGTAAAATTATCTTAGGTGGTGATTTTAATTCCAGAACTCATGTTTTAAATGATGTTTATTTTCCCGATTCTGATAATTGTAGCATACATATGCCATATCCACAGTTGCTTAATGACATACCTGATAATGTATTTTTAGAAGTAAGGAACAACCAAGACCTGAAAATTAATACCTGGGGTAGAGAGCTTATTCAGATTTGTAACAACGCGGACATCTGTATTCTTAATGGCAGGTTTATTGGGAATATTCTTGGTTCGTACACTTGTATAAACTACAGGCTAGTTGTCTAAGCAAATGCTTTTTGTCAATTAAAAATAAAAGACTTATAAACTTCCTTGAAGATAATAATGTCCTAGATGATGCACAGTGCGGATTTCGTAAAAATCATAGAACTGTTGATAACGTCTTTATTTTAAAAACATTGATTAATAAATGTAAGAAGGAAAAAAATAATTTATTCTTATGCTTCGTCAATTTCTCTAAAGCCTTTGATTCAGTTTGGAGAAAGGGCTTGTTGCTAAAAATTACTTCAGCATAATATCAATGGGAAAGTTTTCAGTCTAATTAAATCTCTGTATAACTATACTTCTTATACTGTGAAAACCTTGGATGGTCTTTAAAAAATATATAGAATCGTCCTTGGGTGTGAAACAAGGATGTGTCCTTAGCCCGACCTTATTCAATATATATCTTTTTGACCTGCAAACTTGTTTAAATACATTTAATTTAATTTTGGACAGCCCAGGTCTTGACTCGCATGAAATATCTCATATCCTTTTTGCACTTGATCATGTTCTGTTATCAACATCATCTGTTGGTCTTCAAAATTGTCTTGAATGTCTCAATTCTTTCTTTTTGCACTGATTGGAAACTTAATATTAATTCTGCAAAAACGAAAGTAATGCTTTTTTATAACAATAAGATAAGTCTGAAATACAAATCCCAAGTGAAATTCTTTTTCAACAATCAACTGCTGCAAACTACTACTGATGAATATCTATATTTGGGAGTCTATATAACAAATAACGCATCCTTCAAAAGAGCGAAAAATGAATTAAGTAAAAAAAAAGCTAGGAGGGCATGGTTTGATATCCGTCAGAAAGTGTGCACCAATGATCACCTGCCAACCGAAGTACTCATAAAACTGTATGAAACAAATATCTCTGTATGCCTGTGATGTATGGTGGTCGCAAATAGTAAATACATGTAGCAGAAAAAATGTGAATTTACACAGGTGGGACTATGTGAAGCATAATAAAATCACAATAAAAACTTGCAAATCTATTTTACTACAACCCAAAAAATCTTCAAATATATTATCATTGGCTGAACTAGCTATCTTCCCAATTCAAATTGATATTTACCAACGAATGTTGCTATTTTATAAAAGAATAAATGCACCCGACATAAAACGTACAAATCCGTTACTATCTGCCGCATATGTGGAAGATGTAGAAATAGGCAAATCCAATCCGAAATTATCATGGTCAGCAGCAATATCCTCCCTCATGGACAAGTTCAACTTATCTCCCTTGCAACTTTCAAACTCTAACATTCAAACGGCCATACTATATATAAAACTGAATATATTTCTGGAAATTCGAAATTTAGAACTTATGGCACTGTAAAACCTATTATAGACAATCCAGCCAATTATTTGCTTCATGTACGCAATAAAAACTTCAAGTCTGCTATGACCGCACTACGTGTGAGTTCCCATAACCGAATTTCACTTTTTAATTGAATGTCAGCACTATCAATCTCTTAGGCTAAATATTCTTTCGGTTACTTTCAGTGACAACAA